AACCAGCACCGCAACGCTAACCAGCCCTGGACCGCAACGCTAACCAGCCCTGGACCGCAACCGCTAACCAGCCCTGGACCGCATGGACCGCAACCGCAAACCCTGGACCGCAACCGCTAACCAGCCCTGGACCGCAACCGCTAACCAGCCCTGGACCGCAACCGCTAACCAGCCCTGGACCGCGGACCGCAACCGCTAACCAGCCCTGGACCGCAACCGCTAACCAGCCCTGGACCGCAACCGCAAACCAGCCCTGGACTGCAGCCACAAACCAGCCCTGGGCCGCAACCGCAAACTAGCCCTGGACCGCAACCACAAACAAGCCCTGGACCGCAACCGCTAACCAGCCCTGGACCGCAACCACAAACTAGCTCTGGACCGCAACCGCTAACCAGCCCTGGACCGCAGCCAAACTAGCCCTGGACCGCAACCGCTAATGGACTAACCAACCGCTAACCAGCCCTGGACCGCAACCGCTAACCAGCCCTGGACCGCAGCCACAAACCCTGGACCGCAACCGCCCTGGACCGCAACCGCTAACCAGCCCTGGACCGCAACCGCGCCCTGTGGACCGCAACCGCTAACCAGCCCTGGACCGCAACCGCAAACAAGCCCTGGACCGCAACCGCTAACCAGCCCTGGACCGCAGCCCTGGACCGCAACCGCTAACCAGCCCTGGACCGCAACCGCTAACCAGCCCTGACCGCAACAACCAGCCCTGGACCGCAACCGCTAACCAGCCCTGGGCCACAACCACTGACCTCTTCCGGATCGCAACCACAAACGACAATAGCAGATACAGCTACTCCAACTACAACTATCGCAGATACAGTGGCTGCAGATACATCAACTATTGCAGATACAACAATTATTGCAGATACAACAACTATTGCAGATGCAATGACTACTGCAGATATAACATCAACTACACCAGATACTACTGCAGATACAACAACTGCTGCTACAACAACTGCAGATACAACTACAGCGGATACTACTGCAGATACAACTACAGCAGATACTACTGCAGATACAACAACTATTACTGTTACAACAACGGCAGATACAACAACGACTGCTGATACATTTACTGCAGATACAAGGACTAACGATACAACAACTGCAGATACAACCATTGCAGATACGACTACTGCAGATACTACTACTGTAGATACAACTAATGCAGATACAACAACGTCTGCAGATACAACAACTGTAGATACAACGACTGCAGATATAACAACCACTGTAGATACAACCACTGCAGATACGACTACTGCAGATACAACCACTGCAGATACTACTACTATAGATACGACTACTGTAGATACAACAACCACTACAGATACGACTACTGCAGATACAACAACCACTGCAGATACGACTACTGCAGATACAACAACCACAGCAGATACGACTACTGCAGATACAACCACTGCAGATACAACAACCACTATAGATACGACTACTGTAGATACAACAACCACTGCAGATACGACTACTGCAGATACAACAACCACTGTTGATACGACTACTGCAGATACAACAACCACTGCAGATACAACAACCACTGCAGATACGACTACTGCAGATACAACAACCACTGCAGATACGACTACTGTAGATACAACAACCACTGCAGATACGACTACTGCAGATACAACAACCACTGCAGATACAACCACCACTGCAGATACGACTACTGCAGATACAACAACCATTGCAGATACGAGTACTGCAGATACAACAACCACTGGAGATACGACTACTGTAGATACAACAACGACTGCAGATACGACTACTGCAGATACAACAACCACTGCAGATACGACTACTGTAGATACAACAACCACTGCAGATACGACTACTGCAGATACAACAACCACTGCAGATATGACTACTGTAGATACAACAACCATTGCAGATACGACTACTGCAGATACAACAACCACTACAGATACGACTACTGTAGATACAACCACCACTGCAGATACGACTACTGTAGATACAACAACCAATGCAGATACGACTACTGCAGATACAACAACCACTGCAGATATGACTACATTAGATACAACAACCATTGCAGATACGACTACTGCAGATACAACAACCACTGCAGATACGACTACTGCAGATACAACAGCCATTGCAGATACGACTACTGTAGATACAACAACCACAGCAGATACGACTACTGTAGATACAACAACCACTGCAGATACAACAACCACTACGACTACTGTAGATACTACAACCACTGCAGATACGACTACTGCAGATACAACAACCACTGCAGATACGACTACTGCAGATACAACAACCACAGCAGATACGACTACTGTAGATACAACAACGACTGCAGATACGACTACTGCAGATACAACAACCACTGCAGATACGACTACTGCAGATACAACAACCACTGCAGATACGACTACTGCAGATACAACAACCACTGCAGATACGACTCTGCAGATACACAACAAGATACGACTAC